GCCGGTTGGTGACAACTGGAGGTGTTTGTTGATATGGTTGGGTGCAGAGTTGAGTTGATTTATTTTGAGCCACTTAGCCTATATGTTTCCTACCCTGTCCAAAGAGCTTACATTACAACCCTTAAAGACCTCTTGATTCATTGTTTTATAAATTTGATTGTTTTAGAGTAGAAGCTAGTCGATAGGCAAATCTATGATCGACTTGACTGATGACCAATTTGAGTGCTCCTGTCTTTTATTTTTGCAAAAAAAAATGAGTGAGGCATTAATATCATATCTCCGTACTAGAGAGTTTGTGTTATCATGTGATTGAGTTCATTGTCATGGTGTGTTCTTGAGGCCATTGGAATTCTTTTCAACTTAGTTGATCAATTTGAGACTTTTCTCGTTTGAAACCAGTGTCCACTCTCTTTCGCTTGTTTTATTGATTTTTCTTTTCTTTTTATTGTTCGGGACGAACAATGGTTTTAGTGTGGGGGAGTTGTTCGTTCCATTTTTGTTAGTGTTTTCGTGTTTATTTTATGTTTATTTTTCCCCATTCTAGGTATTTCTTTTTGGCTTTTGGTCCATTTTGAGTCTCGTCTTGAATTTCCTTTCTTTTGTTCGTTTTTGGTCTTTTTGTTTCTCTTCTCTGGTTTTCCGTGCGTTTCTTGTCGGTGGTGATGTGCAGGATGAGTCGCTCGATGAATGACCATGCGTGGACTACTATATAGATGGATGAGTTGGGGTCGAGTAAGAAAAGACAGAATTCGATTCCGTATCCGAATGCGTGCGTACGAAGCCGAAAACCGTCACCTTTCCAGAAAACAGCCTTCACCGCAGCCCGTGACTATGCTCCCGAGGTCGCGGAGAACAAATTTGCACTGTCCAGTTTTACTCGCCGGGGCCCGCGACGGTTCCTTCACCGCGGCCGCGGCGAACAAAATGTCACAGGCGATCAGCACTTCAGACCAGGCTCCCCCGCGGCCTCGGGGGTTAGTCGCGGCCGCAGAGCTTCTAAGCCGCGGCCCGCGAGATGCTCCGCGGCCCGCGAAGGCCGCGACTTACAGATTTTTTAAGTCAGATTTTGGGATCATTTTTCATTATGTTCTATGTTAGGTTTTGTTCTTTCTCGTACGAAATAAGTTCCAGAAACCCATATTTTTCACTTGTTTCTCTTGGGGATCAATCTTGAGGGTGAAAACTTAGAGATTTGACTCTTGGATTTGGTTTTTTCTCTTGTTCTCGACATTGGATTCGTTAATCGTAAGCTTTACTTTCGTTTTCCTTTCGATTGAGATGGCTTTGATTATTGAATATGTTGAAGTTGAATGCATAATGAGTAGCTAAATTCATTAGCTAGGGGTAGGGGATTATCGGTCCAGTTCGATTTCGTTTTAATGCTTGGTAATTGCTCATCTTTCCGAGTTGTGCTTAACCTAGGGTTTAGATGCTTGATCTCCATCTTAATCTAATTAATCAATTTAGAAACCGAAAGGGGATAAATTGTTCGATCTAGGCTCGTTAAGAATAGGCTTGTTCGGTGACGTATTGTTTATGTGCTAATTGATTCGTTAATGATTTGTTTATGTTTATTCTCTTGTTTCGTGAGATATTGAGAATGAATCTCTAGATGAGTTAGTTTATTGAGTCCTTTAGCCGAGTAATTCATTGCTTGCTAAATGCATTGAGAACCGGAAGCGAAATCCCCGATACCCTAGCGCCTTTATCATAATTGTTCTTCGTCCTTGCTTACTACTTTCTCTGCTTTATTTAATTATTTGCAGTAGTTGGTAACTAAAAACCCATCCAATTATTTGATTTAGAATGTTTAGGAATTTTATTTCTTTTATTTCTTTTAATTGTGTTGAGTAAACGTGCTTAATAATCCGGCTAACCTTCCTTGCGATACGACCCGGTGTCGAATCTTTCGATTCTACTCTGGTAAAAATACTTACAACAATTTTCTCCCTAGATAAACATATTTTCTCTTTGTTTTCTTTGAGATATAATGTTGTAAGGTGAAAAAACTCAAAATTACTCTTTCGGATTTGGATTGCTCGTTGTTGATCGACATTGGATTTCCTTTTAATCGTAAGTTCTTATTCTCGTTTCGTTTACGATTATGATGGCTTGTTTTGATGTGATAATCGGTGCTGATTACATGATGAGTACCTAAATTCGTTAACTAGGCTCAAGGGATAATTGTGCTGGTACGATTTCGTTTGCCTGTACGTTGAATTGCTCAATCTTTGCGAGTTTTATTAACCCTATAGTTAGATGTTTGATCACCATCTTAATCTAGCTAGTCGATTTATAGAACCGAAAGGGGAAAAATCGACCGGCCTAGGCTCATTTAGGATAGGCTTGTTCGTAATGATATTTCCTATGTGTTGATTGATTCGTTAATTGTTCGTTTATGTTTATTCTCTTGTTACGAAGAGTTATTGAGGATAAATCTCTGGATGAATAAGTTTTTCAAGTCCTTTAACTGAGTATTTGATTGCCCGTCTAATGTACGTGGAACCGGAAGCGATTGTCCCCGACACCCTAGTCTTGCCACTATTTGAATAGTGTTTAAAGTTGTGAGATTGAACTTGCTTAGTTTAAGAATTCGTAGTTGATAATCCAAATCAAATATAATCAATTAGAATGTTTAGGAATTTGATTTTTCTTTTCGTGTGATTGAATATCGTTCAAATAATCCGGTCAACCTTCCTTGAGAGACGACCCGGTGTTTGAATCTTTTGATTCTACTCCGGTAAAAATAATTACAGCATAAGTCAATTGATTTATTTATTTGGTCAAAAGTTACTAAAATGAATTTTAACAACCTTTTTATATTTTGGTAGATATATATTTTTTTATAAAAAGTATTAAAATTTTAAATAACTTTTTTCTCATTAATTTTAAATTTTAAGAAAAAAAATAACAAGCACTCGTTAATACACGGATGTTGTATTAATTATATTTTTTTCATAAATTTTCTATATATTAATTCAAAACATGTTGAGCCTAAGTAGTTGGCTCCCATGCTTCAGGGTCCTATGTGGCAAAAGTACATGCTTCGTTATTAGGCTTGGTTAGATTTTTTATTTTACATCCATCCAAAAATAATTATGTTACATCCATCCAAAAATAATTATGTCCGAATTATCCATAATTATGTTGATTATTTAGGGTCATGTTACATGTATTAATTGCATTTTAATATCATTTATTATTATAACCATTGAATTCTATGTATAATTTTTGTATTTTTCTTTTTATCAATTTTACATATATAATATATCAAATTAATCATCTCTTGACGAACTTCGATTTAACATCCATATTGTATGTATAAAAAAAGAAGCTATATTTATCTTTATAATAATATCAAATAATTTTTTTAATATAATTAGAAAAATAAAATTATTTATCAATTAATATATTTATATTTCAAATAGTTATATGATATAAGTTATAAAAATTACTAAATTACAACACATGTAAGTCGCACAAACAACAAAAAGAAGACTAATTTGATATATTACATATGTAAAACTGATAAAAAAATACAAAAGTTATTAACTTTTAAAATATATATAAAATTCGATAGTTATAATAAGGAATGATATTAAAATCCTCCCTATCTATAATTCCAGAATGCGCTGAGCCTACGTGGCTGCTTCTGGTGCTTCGGAATCCTTTTTGGCGAAGAATCATGCTTCCTAATTAGGTTTGAATGAATAATATTGATATATTAATAATTAATAATCTAGGTTCGGGTATTCCATAAATATTATTTAGCTAAATTAGGTATTTTAATATCACTTTTACTAATATAATCCTCCCTATATATAATTCCAGAATGCGCTGAGCCTACGTGGCTGCTTCTGGTGCTTCGGAATCCTATTTGGCGAAGAATCATGCTTCCTAATTAGGTTTGAATGAATAATATTGATATATTAATAATTAATAATCTA